AGTGAAAAAACAATGATCTGGGTGGTGACCAAGGTGAGGTTTTAGGCCTGGATTTGGAGTCTCCGAAGATTTTGCTGAAGTGGGGGGTCTTTCTGGGGGCGATGTTTTGTGGTTTTCTGGTGCAAGAGGGTGCTTGCGGTGGAGGAAGTGGTGAATGCAAGGTACGGAGTGATTGAGCAGTGGGCATTGTTGTTGAGGAATGCGTGGCCTAAGGTTTCTACGGTTTGTAAGATTTTCAAAGACCAAGGTGTGATTCTGACCGCACTTTAGGTCTATCTGCATTATTCTCAATGGCAGAGACTTCTATAACTACACTTGTAGCCATGGAATGTTTGCTTTCTTTGTTTGATGATTGATGATTCTTGTAATTAGTGAATAGCAATTTAAATTTGATTTTTAGTATGGAAATATCGAAAATTTTGGAAAGATAAAATATATGAAGTTGAAGAACATTCACATTTAATGATTCTTAACATTCTAGTAACTTTTATCCTGGAAAGTTTGTGGTTGTTGTGTAATGGCATTTGCTGACTTAATATTGGGTTAAGTTTAGTAAAGATTAATCTGATCTGCTTTTTCAATTCTTGACTATGAATTTCATGCAGCATTATTAATGTTGTCTTGTTTTGGTTTAGATGATGCTGGTTTCTACTGTGTTTATATGCTTCATATTAACTTATAGAAGAACAGAATATTTTTTTTTTTTTTGAATAGCACCAAGACGTCAAGAAACTTTGATCTCATTGGTGGTTCGATGCTAAATTGTGTCACGTTTGTGAGCTGAATCATTGGTTAGTGTTCTTTCCCTGTTATCCACAAGCTGCTGCATCTTTATAATGTTAAGATACTGCTTTATTTCATTATTTTTTGCACTTTTAAGATTTCTGAGCTAGTTCCCTCTATTTCTCTCAGAGCCATTCTATGGTACAATTTGCTTATACAATAGGGAGAGAAGAGAAAAATTGTCAGAAGATTTCTATTTTAGCTTTCTACCAACTGAAATGCAGGATGTAAGCCTTAAAACTAATTTAGGATTAAATTCTTTGGTGCTTTGGTTTTTCATATTGATGACTTAGAAATCCACTCTTTCTCATTTACCTGGACAGACTAATAAAGTATCTTCAGAACCTCGTGGACTTTTCTATTTAGATGCTCCGTCAGCATCTGTGTGTCTACTAATCCAATTAGAGAAGCCTGCAACAGAAGAAGGGGGAGTGACTCCTTCTGTTTATTCACGTAAAGAACCTGTATATATGAAGAACTTATATGTTTCCATCTTGTTCATCTTCAATCTGACCTCTGATTAAATGTGACAAAATTTCTCTTTTGTTGGCTTGCTTGTTACCTGGCAGCAAGATTTTTACCTGTTGGCTTG